ACTGTATTTTGACCAACTAAGATAAATGATTTCAGTTTGAGATACCTGTGCCATATGTTCAGCATTAGCACTGAGCACAGTCTTCAGTCTCTGAGCCTCTTTAAGGAGTTTGGCCATGGCGCGCAGATTCTCCCTCACGTCCTTCTTTGATTTCTTCTGTTCGTTAAAGTGCTTGGCAAGATGATCTCTGAGCCTCAGCTCCATCTCAAAGCCACCGAGTGTTCTATCAAACCTAAATGTTAAAAGAAAAACAGCTATAGTCAGTCAACACAATATTGTATACATATACATGGACTCCCAGGTGGCCAAAAATTAGTGGTGAAAACATGACAACCATGACTAACCCTACTCCATGGATCTGAAGCTGCGGCTGAGTGCCAGATTCCTTGGTCTTCACCGTCTGATACGTGACAATCGTGGCTGTTGTGCTGCCTGATCCCATATCATAAAACAAGATATTCTACAAAAGACACAACAAAGTTAGTATCAAAAAATCAGTCAGAAATCCTACTTTAAATTAATTCCTGCATCACCAAAACGGAAGTGTCAATTTTCTGTTTTTCCAGTCTGCCACTGGTTGGCCAAACAGATAGTCCCACCCACACCATTGGCTGACACAATGTTGACCAAATAAATAAATAAATTCACTTCAATTCTCTCAGAAGTACCTGTGCAGTAGAGTTGATGTCCTTCCTCCTAAAGACTCCATAGTTCAAAGCCACGGCAGTATTATCATTGATAAGCTGAAGGACCTTTAGACCTGCTATATGGGCAGCCTGCAAGACTGCCCTGCGTTCTGCCTGATTAAAATAGGCTGGCACTGTGATCACAGCATCTTTAATGGGCTGCTCTGTGAGGGAGAAATAAAGTTATTGGTGCTTCCAAATTTCCCAATCTGCAAAAACCAAGACAGCTATTCAAAACACTCCTTATAATCAAACCTGCGAAGTCTTGAGCCAGACCACGAGAATAGTTCAATATCATGCCCAAAAGTTCCTCTGGAGTGTACTGCAACTCTCTGGATGATATAAAAGATTCATTTTTCACATTAATGTAAGACACATCGACTCCAGCTAATGCACCTGCAAGTGCTCCATTACTTACTCTGAGAATTTGAAAAACACGGTTCCTCTTTTCTCATCTCTCTGCAGCTGGTGTTCAGGGAAGTGTTTCTGATACTGTGCCACCTGTGGGTTGTCTGTCGTCTTTCCCAAAATGCTCTGGAGGAATCTGTAAACCACCTTGGGGTTCTTCACAGCCTGTCATGATTAAAGTATGCTAGAGTCAAAGCTTGTCAAATATGCTGCAACAAGGTGTTAGAGACAAAGAAAATGTGAAGGGGTGTTTTTCATCCTACAGAATTTCATAAAAACAGGCTATTTTCTTCCTTAATCCATGTAACTGATTTACACTTTCATTCAAAAGTTTGGGGTAAGTAATTAATACTTCCATTCAGCAAAGATGCATTAAATTAATCAAAAGTGACAGGAAAGAATCATGAAAAAAAGTACCAATGTTTCCACAAAATATCAAGCAGCACAATTACACATCTGTGTAATATTTAATATAAAAGTATTAAATATACATTTCTATTTATAGAAAGGTATTGGCATACAATGACTTACCACTCCTAAAGCACTGTCTCCAAAAAGCCTCTCGTTTTCCTTTAAGCACACTGCGACTGGAGTTTTCCGCCGGGACTCCCTACACAAAAAAAGAAGCTAAATATCACAATGGAATAAAATGCTGTCTGAAAAGAATATTTATTTAATACAAGTCTAAATCAGGTGACATCTGTGGATTTTAGGTGTAAAATTTACACTGTTCTAAAACGTACTTGTTTAATACAATCTCCATTGGCACACCAGGTTTCACTAAAGCAATTTTCATCCATTCACTGCCCAAGTCCACAGACATCACAGCAATTGATTCTGCAACAAAAATGTCAGTGAGAGCTGAAATTCTGCGCTCTAGATAAAACCAGAATGTAAAAATAATGCATGTTTACAATCTTGATCGATTTAAATTCATCCTGATGGACATCACCAAAGGAAATTTAGAGCAAATGTAAGGCTATATCATAATTCATGTGCTGCTTACCTGTTTGAGAAGGCAGGAATGCTACTATTAGGCAAAAAACTGCCCATAATGACAACCTTTCCCTCATTGTGACCTGCAGGAAAGAAACAAAGCCTGGTTCAATAGCATGTAGGCTAAAATTCACTAAAGTTTCATCCATTCACTGCCCAAGTCCACAGACATCACAGCAATTGATTCTGCAACAAAAATGTCAGTGAGAGCTGAAATTCTGTGCTCTAGATAAAACCAGAATGTAAAAATAATGTTTACAATCTTGATCGATTTAAATTCATCCTGATGGACATCACCAAAGGAAATTTAGAGCAAATGTAAGGCTATATCATAATTCATGTGCTGCTTACCTGTTTGAGAAGGCAGGAATGCTACTATTAGGCAAAAAACTGCCCATAATGACAACCTTTCCCTCATTGTGACCTGCAGGAAAGAAACAAAGCCTGGTTCAATAGCATGTAGGCTAAAAGTCACAATGCAACTGTGACAGGTCCATAAAACAGGAAGCATATCAAAACCATGCAAGATCCCTCAAATCACAATGTCATACACTATTACTAAAACTGACAGTACTACATCCTGATATGTGGGGGGCTCCAGGAAGCACTTTTGCAGAGCTTTGCTGCAGAATTGAGGCACTAGAGCCAAGGTGCAAAAAGAATACAAGGAGACAATATTTAATATATATTCAAAAATCTCATTTGGCTTCATTTTTACAGTCACAGTTCTCCCTTGATAGACCATTTTCAATGCTAATTCAAAAGTGCAAAGTGGAAACTTCTAGTTGCACAGTCTGTGTGACGTAAGCTTGAAAGAGGCTGCCTGATCCTGATGGGAAGAGCATCATGACCATGTCAAACTGTCATTTCACCGTTTGATGATGTGAAATGCAAAGTGGAAACTTCTAGTTGCACAGTCTGTGTGACGTAAGCTTGAATGAGGCTGCCTGATCCTGATGGGAAGAGCATCATGACTATACATTTCTATTTATAGAAATACTACATTTCATAGAAAGTAATAACTTTCCCACTTGACTTCAAAAAGAAGGGATGGTGGTGAAAAAACGTTGTTTATTATCCAAGCATTCAGGTCTGCCTCCATTCTGGTATGGCATGCCCACTTTTAATGACTGTTTCATAAAATTAAGTACCACCCTATATTATTTTCTCACTGAAAATCCATGTTCCATTTGGAAATGTCACAGTACAGGTTAAATTTGTTATATATATATACAGTGGGTACGGAAAGTATTCAGACCCCCTTAAATTTTTCACTCTTTGTTATATTGCAGCCATTTGCTAAAATCATTTAAGTTAATTTTTTTTCCTCATTAATGTACCTTTTGCAGAGCTTTGCTGCAGAATTGAGGCACTAGAGCCAAGGTGCAAAAAGAATACAAGGAGACAATATTTAATATATATTCAAAAATCTCATTTGGCTTCATTTTTACAGTCACAGTTCTCCCTTGATAGACCATTTTCAATGCTAATTCAAAAATGCAAAGTGGAAACTTCTAGTTGCACAGTCTGTGTGACGTAAGCTTGAATGAGGCTGCCTGATCCTGATGGGAAGAGCATCATGACCATGTCAAACTGTCATTTCACCGTTTGATGATGTGAAGTAAACATAACACTTTCTTTTTAAAAGGCTCACATATAAGTAAATGCAGCTGATGGTCTTGTAGATGTACTACTGTACTAGAGACTGATCAAGACACATTTTGCAACACATGCAACCACTCAGATGAGCCCAAACATCTCCAACAAAAAAAGTAATGGAATGGCACTTACCTTTAGCGAGATCAAGTTTTATATTGGCTCTTGTTGACTGGTAAATCCCTCTTGACACTTAAACAACAATATTTAGAAACGCTTATCCTGTCCTAATTATGAAAGAGAGCTTTTCTGTGTTGATCCTTAATATCTAATGTCTTACAGAAGGCAGGAAGATTGCATTAACCAGCAATGCTCTGTGACCACGCCGCCTCGTTTGCTTGGTTTTGCTCTTGCAATCACCGGCTTGTTCTAACACATTGGGCCCGGAACGCGGCGTGATCTCATTGGATCCACGCAACTCGCTGCTCGCCGAGTGAAGCACTAATCGCTATGCTCGTAAGTCCCGCCTCTTTACCCTTGAATGGAGAACGCTGATTGGTCCACGTGCCAACCAGTGCGCGCGAGTGGTCAGTCGTGTAACTAAACACGGATCTGATTGGTCCACGTAAAATAGGTGAACATAACGGCTGTGCGACAAGTTGTAGTTTTTGTTGTCAGCGACGGCAGCCCGACTCATTTCTGCGAATAGATTCGTTTGAACAGTTATTTTCAAAGAACCGATTCAGTGATTCTTTTACGCCATTCTTTGTATGTATTACGTTATAGAACGGCCCAATTAAGTTATACGGCATATTTCTGTTTATTACGTTTTTCAATTAGGGTTTAAAATAAAATTATATTTATTAAACCACTTTTCTTCATATGTGAGTTTATGTTTTACGTGAAACATTTCTGCAATAAAAGTAACTGACTTTTCGCCTCATCACGAAGAAAGAGACGAGATAACCTGCATTAATTCAGTGCTTTGTTGACACATGAACCGGATACGTTCAGTCCCATTCGTGAACCGGTTCTAGAGAATCATTGAAAAGATCCGAATCGAAAGAACAGTTCGTTCACGAATCGGACATCGTTAATTAACTTTTGTTGTATTATGTCTTTTGGCCATATTAATAACTTTTGAAATTATACATTTAAATCAAATATGTATATTTTTCTTATAATTTTCTGTTTGGTGTGTATTTTGGTTTTAAACAGTATCAGTTATTTCATTTACATTATATGTTTAAATAAATGTTATCAAGTTAATTTGTGGCTTGTTGTGTCCAACCTTAAATATATTATTGCGTATACAGATAAATAACAGAAAACAAGAATATACTGACACTAGTCACATGACCGTGATGTGAGTCACATGATTGTGCTAAACAAGAACTGCTTGGAAAATGGCAGCGTTCTTACAGTGGAGACGATTTGTGTTTTTCGATAAAGAAACGGTGAAAGATCCGAGCGAAAATGGGAAAAATTTCCAACTACCGGTGGGATTAGCGGCCTGTGATTCAGGTCGAGGACACATTGTGCTTGGAGATATCCTTAAAATGCTGAAGTCATGCTTGAGGCTAGTTAGCAATGATGACACTGATAAACAATAATACTACGTATATTTCATAATTATAGTTATAAATCGTAGCATATTTTAATAGGTTGCAGCAAGCCTGCTTTGTCAAATTGATTATTGCATGGTTTCTTTTATATTTTTCATAATTCCAACATTCAGTCCTTTCTGGCTGATTATATATATATATATATATATATATATATATGATGATTTCAGTTATGCCACATGATCATGTTTTCTTTAACTCATATAATGCACATATGGATGGGCAGATTTGGTTTTTGACCCGCTCCCTGCAGCTATCCAGCTTTCAGGCTTATAAGCTGCGCGTGACACACCTGTACCAGCTGAAACAACACAACATCCTGGTGTCTGTGGGTCAGGACGAGCCTGGCATCAATCCTCTGGTAAGAATCACGACAGGTGTCTGCTGAAGCTACATGTCAGGGCAAGAAATTAAGCTTTAGAAATGTAAGTTGATTTCTAGAGTTTATGTGTTTGCCCATCAGGTGAAGGTGTGGAACCTTGATAAGAAGGACAGCGGCAGTCCTCTGTGTACCCGGATATTCCCTGCCATACCTGGAAACAAACCCACTGAAGTGTCTTGTCTCAGTGTACATGAAAACCTTAATTTCATGGCTATAGGTAGGAGTTTTATTTTTAATTCACAAATCAGGGATATTATAGTTAATTAAAACTAAAACCATTTAGAAACTTGTTAGTTACTTGAAATAAAAGGGAAAGAAACTAAAAGTATAATAATATAATATAATATATAATACTATACATTTAAAAATATATATTTTTTCATTTAGTCTAACCATATTTAAAAACACAGAAACTAATAAAAAAGTAAAAAAAAAAAAACCACATCTAACACTGTCACAGCATGTCTCTTTAAAAGAGTGCAAAATTGGCACTGAAAATCTAAATCTGAGGTCTCCCCCAAAATGAGAAATCTTATATAATCTTGTATACTGTAATTATTCAGATCGAGAATTTATTTTAATTAATTTAATTGATTTGAGTATTAGCTAGTATTTTTATATGGTTTGAAAAACGTTTTCATAAAGGTAATAATTCCCATATACTTAAATGTTAGAGGGCAGCTAATAATAAAAAAAATTGCACTTTAATGTTGCAAAAGTAAACAAATGCTATTAGGGATGTAACGGTATGAAAATTTCTTAACACGATTATAGTGACCAAAATTATCACGGTTATCAGTATTATCACAGTATTGTTAAAATGTGCTGGAGATGTTAAAAAAGTACTGACACATAAACCACTTCACCAAGTTTTAGGCTATCAAAGTTATATTTATTTGATTTTGATTTTCTAAAAATATATAAATGTAACTTGAAATCACTTCTTATATGTGAATAATTTCAGTGACACTAAATGGCATTTGCAACCCATTTGTTTCTGTAATATGATGCATTTCAAAGTGAAAAAAAATTTAGTTGAGAAAAAAATATTTTTTTCCTGGAGTTTATCCATCAATAATTAATTTTATGTTGACTCTAATATCTGTGTTGAATGCTCAGGTTTTACAGATGGCAGTGTTGTGCTGACGAAGGGTGACATCACCAGAGACAGACACAGTAAAACACTCAGCCTCCATGAGGGCAACTGTCCAATCACAGGCCTGGCTTTCCGACAGGCCGGCAAAGTCACACACCTGTTTGTCGCCACTCTAGAAAAAGTGCAGGTACATGTTAGTTACATGGAATGTGATTTTTTTTTGTCTTTGTAATGAAACTGTGTGAATACAGATGAAAATTATAACAAACTGAAAGCAGGATTATTCATATGTTGACAGTGTTACACATTATCACTGAAAGAGTACCCTCGTATAGAACTGGACACGCACGGCTGCGCCCTCCGCTGCTCGGCGCTCACAGACCCCTCACAGGACTCGCAGTTCATAGTGGCTGGAGATGACTGTGTGTATTTGTACCAGCCTGATGAGAGAGGGCCCTGTTTTGCTTTCGATGGGCACAAGCTTCTTACTCACTGGCACAGAGGCTACCTGCTGCTGCTAACACACAATAACAAGTCACCCAGCAAGTAAGACTCGTGGTATTGCATGGATTATCTGTCCTTTTCTCGCTTTAACTTTTTTTAATATGCATTCACATTTTTGACATTTCATTTGTACAGATCTGATTATGGTAGCAGACAGACATCCCCTTCAGAAAAACACATCTTGACCATTTATGACCTGGACAACAAGTTTATCGCTTACAGTGCGGCGTTTGATGATGTCATTGACGTTCTGGCAGAATGGGGCTCTTTTTATGTCCTAACGAGAGACAGAACACTGTATATGCTGCAAGAAAAAGACACACAGACCAAGCTAGAGGTTAGAACAGTGTTATTATCATTAAAAGAACGTTTTGTTTTTTTACCTAAAATATAAAGTGATATACATTACCGATCAATGTGTTATTTAGATGCTGTTTAAGAAGAACCTGTTTGTGATGGCCATTAACTTGGCTAAAAGTCAACATCTGGACAATGATGGTTTGTCTGAGATATTCAGACAGTATGGAGACCATCTCTACGTCAAAGGGGATCATGATGGAGCTATCCAGCAGTATATTCGGTAGGTTTGCAGTTCAGATTTCTAGGTACACATTTCATTTAAAATCAAGTAAGTTACATCCTGATCTTCTTTCTCTCTTAGCACCATTGGGAAGCTTGAGCCCTCATACGTAATCCGTAAATTTTTGGATGCACAGAGGATACATAACTTGACAGCATACCTACAGGCCCTCCACAGGCAGTCGCTGGCCAACGCTGACCACACTACTCTACTGCTCAACTGTTACACCAAACTGAAGGACAGCTCCAAGCTGGAAGAGTTCATAAAGGTCTGTAGAAAAATGATTTTGGCCTGAATGTGCATTTAAGCTTTTTGAATGAGCCTTGACCACTGACGATGCTTTGTATACTCTGCTGCATCCCTCCTGTGACTATAGAGCAATGAAAGTGAGGTGCATTTCGATGTTGAAATTGCGATCAAGGTGTTACGTCAGGCTGGTTATCACAGTCATGCCGTTTTTCTGGCAGAGAGACACATGCATCATGAATGGTATCTAAAGATCCAGCTAGAGGATTTGAAGGTAAATACAGCTTTTTTTGTGCTATGATATAAACTGTTATGATACATGCTTTTCGATCAGTTTATGTAATCCAGTACTTTTTCATTTTGTCAACAAAAACTTTTCTCTGCCTTGCTCTTGCCAGAAAAATATATATTAAATTATTTTCCCCCCTTTTTTTAAAAAACCTTTTCAGAATTATCAGGAGGCTTTACGCTACATAGGACGGTTACCATTCGATCAGGCAGAGAGTAATATGAAGCGTTACGGTAAAATTCTAATGCACCATGTGCCTGAGAGTTCCACCATCCTCTTAAAACGCCTCTGCACTGATTATCACCCTAACAAAGACTCAACCGACAGGGACAGTCTGGACAGCCCTGCGGAAAACAAGGTCATTCATTTGGATTAGCATTAACACCTTTAAATAATCTGACATTCAAGAACATTGCGAGTTAAGCCAAATTACTTGAGATTTTATCTCAAAATGTTCTTACTTTTTTACAGGCCAATCCAGAAGAGTTCATCCCAGTCTTTGCAAATAACCCACGAGAGCTGCGAGCGTTCCTGGAACACATGATCGAGGTGGATCCGTTCTCACCTGAGGGAGTTTATGACACACTGCTAGAGCTCAGACTGCAGGACTGGGCACATGAGCAGGACCCAGGGGTAAAACATGCAGTCATACCACACATGTCTCATTATGTTATATTATGTTATTATTGACAACATCTGAACCTGAAGAATTTGACTTGTTTATTTATTAGATATTTTTGCTAATTTGATTATGATTTTACTTATTTTACCATATTTAAGACAATCCTGCAGATTCTCAAATCTGAAAATGAAAATAAATATTTTATACTGAACATTATAATACATTGTGTATACTATAATACACAGCATAATGTAGCATTTAACACAATTGATTTTAGATTTTAGTTTTTTTTTAATAAAACTAAAATAATTAAATTAAAATAATTTTTAGTATTTAGACGGTTTAAATTTTATTTTTTTCATAACTTGAAAATAATTATTAGCTTATTGTCACTGGCCAGAATTTTAATATCGGTGCATCCCTAGAAAACAGTATACATATTCCATAGCTATGCCATAGCTATAACATTGTAACTGCATTATAAAGTACAATCTCAAGACCATTTTTAACATTTTTTGGGTAAATTTGGATTGCTTACTGTAAAAGCATATACTGCAGGAAACCCATCACTCTTTCTGTCTTTTGTCTGACAGAAGAAGAAAGTCCTGCAGGAGGCAGCACTGTCCCTGCTGAGGAGCGACAACACTGTGTTTGACAAAGCCCTGTTGCTCTGCCAGATGCACAACTTCAAGGAAGGAGTGCTGTATCTGTATGAAAAGGGCAAACTGTAAGCGCTATTTCTAATCACTGTCTCACTTACTCAGAAGGTGCTATAAAAGTTATCTACACAACTTCTACAAGTCTTCTACAGCCATACTATAGCTTTGTGTGACAACAGACCACAATTACTGACTGAATTCTGTTCAGAATTGAATGCATCTACATCTGCATTACATTTAGATTTCATCTATTAATAGCAGAAAAATAAGTGACAGAACAGCCTGTTTCTGCAGGTACCAGCAGATCATGCACTACCACATGCAGAATGAGGAGTACGGGAAAGTCGTGGAGGCCTGTAAACGTTATGGGGACAGTGAGGTGTGTTTGTGGGAACAGGCTCTGGGCTATTTTGCACGCAAAGAAGAAAACTGCAAGGCCTACATTAGTGAAGTCCTGCAGCACATTGATGAAAATAACTTGATGCCTCCACTTTTGGGTGAGTAAAAGGATACGAAAAAAGTTTGTGGTCAACAACTCTGTTGTGTTTTTCATATATAACTGCGTGACCTTTTCACACAATTCATTCTTTTTCGGCCATGATGTAGAATGTGAACCAACTCTTCACCTTCCAGGGAACTTTATATCAAATAATTGTAGTGTTGTCCATACCGTCAGCATAATTTTGACCTTATATGAATGTCTGTGTTGCAGTGGTGCAGACTTTGGCTCATAATTCCACAGCATCGCTGTCAGTCATAAAAGACTACCTGATAAATAAACTAGAGCGGGAGACCCAGCAGATTGAGGAAGATGAAAGGAAGATTCGACAGTATAGAGAGGAGACGGCCCATCTTCGCGCTGAGATACAGGAACTTAAAACGTGGTGAGCGAATCAAGGATTCATTCATTAGTCAACGGCATAAAAAAAAAAATGGATGCTACAATTGATAGTATAGGAATGTCATTGTATATTTAAACAAATGACATTGCTCTTTCAGTGCAAAGATCTTCCAGAAGACCAAGTGCAGCATGTGCAACAGCCCACTAGAGCTGCCATCTGTGCACTTCCTGTGCGGCCACTCTTTCCATCAGCACTGCCTAGAGAGCTTTGCTGAGAGTGAGGCCGAGTGCCCCACTTGCACCCCTGAGAACAGGAAAGTGATGGACATGTTGCGTGCGCAAGATCAGAAACGAGATCTGCATGATCATTTCCACAGACAGGTACCGTTTTTCCTCCTGCAGGACATGCTGAATTGATCAAAGGTGCCAGTTAACTAAATAGAATTTCTCTCTCTCGTAGCTCAAATGCTCTAATGACGGCTTCTCAGTCATCGCTGACTATTTTGGCCGTGGAGTGTTTAACAAACTCACTCTGATAACGGATCCTCCTGGAGGAAAGAGTGGAGCTGGGAATCTGGAGGCTGAATTCAACAGAGATCTGCTCATTAACACCAAGAGGAATGTTTGAGAGCTGGACTGGAGTTCATATTAAAAGAAGAAGTGCTGATCTAGGGTCACTCTTTCTGTCTTTTGTCTGACAGAAGAAGAAAGTCCTGCAGGAGGCAGCACTGTCCCTGCTGAGGAGCGACAACACTGTGTTTGACAAAGCCCTGGTGCTCTGCCAGATGCACAACTTCAAGGAAGGAGTGCTGTATCTGTATGAAAAGGGCAAACTGTAAGCACTATTTCTAATCACTGTCTCACTTACTCAGAAGGTGCTATAAAAGTTATCTACACAACTTCTACAAGTCTTCTACAGCCATACTATAGCTTTGTGTGACAACAGACCACAATTACTGACTGAATTCTGTTCAGAATTGAATGCATCTACATCTGCATTACATTTAGATTTCATCTATTAATAGCAGAAAAATAAGTGACAGAACAGCCTGTTTCTGCAGGTACCAGCAGATCATGCACTACCACATGCAGAATGAGGAGTACGGGAAAGTCGTGGAGGCCTGTAAACGCTATGGGGACAGTGAGGTGTGTTTGTGGGAACAGGCTCTGGGTTACTTTGCACGCAAAGAAGAGAACTGCAAGGCCTACATTAGTGAAGTCCTGCAGCACATTGATGAAAATAACTTGATGCCTCCACTTTTGGGTGAGTAAAAGGATACGAAAAAAGTTTGTGGTCAACAACTCTGTTGTGTTTTTCATATATAACTGCGTGACCTTTTCACACAATTCATTCTTTTTCGGCCATGATGTAGAATGTGAACCAACTCTTCACCTTCCAGGGAACTTTATATCAAATAATTGTAGTGTTGTCCATACCGTCAGCATAATTTTGACCTTATATGAATGTCTGTGTTGCAGTGGTGCAGACTTTGGCTCATAATTCCACAGCATCGCTGTCAGTCATAAAAGACTACCTGATAAATAAACTAGAGCGGGAGACCCAGCAGATTGAGGAAGATGAAAGGAAGATTCGACAGTATAGAGAGGAGACGGCCCATCTTCGCGCTGAGATACAGGAACTTAAAACGTGGTGAGCGAATCAAGGATTCATTCATTAGTCAACGGCATAAAAAAAAAAATGGATGCTACAATTGATAGTATAGGAATGCCATTGTACATTTTTAAAAATTACATTGCTCTTTCAGTGCAAAGATCTTCCAGAAGACCAAGTGCAGCATGTGCAACAGCCCGCTAGAGCTGCCATCTGTGCACTTCCTGTGTGGCCACTCTTTCCATCAGCACTGCCTAGAGAGCTTTGCTGAGAGTGAGGCCGAGTGCCCCACTTGCACCCCTGAGAACAGGAAAGTGATGGACATGTTGCGTGCGCAAGATCAGAAACGAGATCTGCATGACCATTTCCACAGACAGGTACTGATTTTTCTCCTGCAGGACATTTTGAATTGATCAAAGTTGCCAGTGTTAACTAAATACTTCAAAATAAAAATGAAAATGAAAATTGAATAGAATTTCTCTCTCTTGTAGCTGAAATGCTCTAATGACGGCTTCTCAGTCATCGCTGACTATTTTGGCCGTGGAGTGTTTAACAAACTCACTCTGATAACGGATCCTCCTGGAGGAAAGAGTGGAGCTGGGAATCTGGAGGCTGAATTCAACAGAGATCTGCTCATTAACACCAAGAGGAATGTTTGAGAGCTGGACTGGAGTTCATATTAAAAGAAGAAGTGCTGATCTAGGGTCAGATGTCTGACTAGGGTCTGCTGCAGAAACAGCTCTACACTACTTGAATGGTCTTTGAACAAATCCAAATTAAGCCCCCGCAACTCCTCTTCTTAGTGTTGATTTATTTATAGGCTTGATAGTGGAGAGCAAGATTACAGCTTGTTCAGAATGTCTTCATCTGTGTAGTCTCCAAGATCAGATCAGCATAAAGTGGAAAGTATCAAAACCACTGTGAGTGATGATAACATTTAAGAACTTGCACTTCAAGACCGTGACCTTTTCAAGCTTTGAATTCAGCTGCCGTAGGCACACTATAGAAGACAACTTGCACAACTTAATTTTGCATCCCTTAATAATTTCTGTATAATATTTCATTAGCATTGCAACCATTCATTATAGCAGATAAAGCAACTAATCAACAATAATCAATGTCAAATGCCTGTAAAAGTGTAAAACATCATTGACTAGTAACTTGTAATTATATTGTATTTTATTGTATTATCTGTGATGTTTGTTGAGATCTTAATTTGTCATGAAATAAAAAAATATATATATATTTACACAGTATTTTACATTGTAGATGCCAAAGAATACAGAAATGTGTGTAAAACACTATTTTGAAGTCACACATTGAAACCCCTCTGAACAAATCTACCTTCATTTATTTAAACCTTCACTGGTGTCTAGTTTGCTAAAACTATTTGGTGAGTTACAAAAGTTTGCAAAGCTAAACAGCTCAACCAGCAAGTAAAGGTGCTAAGAACCACATCCTGTTCTCAAGTGCTGATCCATGCTGCCTAGAACTGCTGTCTCTGCCAAGAAGCTTGGTTAAAATCACCTTTTTACAACGTGAACCTGTTTTACCCTTGTTGAAACAGGCTAAACTTTCAAAATGTTGACTCTTAACTGAACTGTAGAGTTCCCCTATCATCATTCTCCATGGCTTTTTTTAGTATGTTTGTGAAACCAAAGACAGTCTTCTCAAGCTCTGCTTAAGCCTGTGACTAAAATCACGAATCTCAGCTTTACACTCACTCGAGCTATTCTCATTTTAGTGTCACAGATAAAAACCAAGCACAAAGAGAAAGTTAATTGAATCAGTAAAATCTATGTCTCCCTAGTTATATAATGCTTTTTAGTTTTCCTGTTCTTACTCCTGCCATATCTCGACAGACTGAGGGAAACCACAAGGTTTCTCAATGACGTGAGTGTGAACTATTCGGGTTTAGCAGTAAACTTTTAGGATTTAGGACTTTTCTACAGCCATTCAAACTGCCTGTCAGGTATTAAATAGACAGGCGTCATTTAAGCTGAACATTTTGTATACCTTTTTGTGGACTGGAAAAATAATGTTGCATTTGTTTTATCATTGTATTTACTCAAGATTGTTTTGGAAGGATTTAGAAACTTTTATTAACAGGAAATGGGTGTATAATAGAAATGTTGTATAATGTTTCTGATGTGCTTTTTTATTTTTAGAAAGTAAATAACGGTACATCATGCAATTTATTATATTAAGAAATAATACAATATAAATAAAAGGGGGCATTTTTGCAAATCAAATTATAAAGGACTTTACACTATACACAAACCTGCAATGTTTTTAAAGCACTAAAAGTAATATAACTTTTTTTTCTGGTAGCTAAAGTTGCTAATGACGTTACTATGCAATACCTCTTCTCTTGCCAATGAATAAAAAATGAATTCAACAAACAGACGTTCTCACGCATTTCCGCTGAAGATCTCGCGAGATCAAGTTTCCTTGGCAACAGTACACCGTGTTTTCATGGAGAGGTCAGAGCGTCAAAAGGTTTGTTATTGTTATCGCGCAAATGTCAATAATTTAATCTTGCGTACCATGTTAATTACGTAAACATGTATATGAGACACTAACGTGGTGTATTTTATGCCTCGCTATTCAATGTAACGAGCGCATCAAACACTAAGCTAACGTTACAGTAAAACATTGTTATTCCTTAATGCTTGTGTGTCACATTGGGTCTAAAAAACAAATAATTCACCACGTCACGATGTTACGTGACGATAATGGTTACTAGTTGCCTCCTAAAACGGATTGTGGTAGGTTATAATAGTCCCGTAAAGCAAAACTAAACCAGCTGGAAAAGACTTACTTCATGGGCTGTGTCTCTAAACCAAGTATGCTGCCTACCTAGACAGCATTTTAGGGCATCATAGACATGCTCTGAGTCAGCAGCGTTTTGGTATCACTATGACTTCTAAAAATACAGTCTAGGCAGGCATCTCCCTAGATTTTGAAACCCAGTTTTAGTAAAAACTAAAGAGTGCAAATAATATCTGCAAACAGATTCAACTCGCAACCAACCAGCCATACGACGAGAGTTTTGAGGTGAATGCAGAGGAGGCAGCCAGTGTGCACACACCATCCCCAAGACAGATAGGTCAGACTGTTTACCACTTCTTTACATTTTACCTAGCATTCATCAACTGTTTTTCATGCCATTGTGTTTTTATTTCAGTTTCTAGGAGGACAGGCAGGCAGAAGCAGAGCGCCATGGCAACTTATGCTGGCGATAAACTAGAAGAGGATACTAAAGTAAGTTTACTAACTCATATTTGGTGAATGAATAAAATGAAGTTTGAATGACCTGTTCACATCTGACAGCAGAGAAAGAAAGAGCCGCCACCTCTTGCCCGTGCTACTAATCAGAATGATGAAGATGATGAGGACGAGGATGACGATGATGATGACGATGATTCTGATGACACAGAGTCTGATGAGGAGGAAGGGGAGCCCGGATCTGCTCCAGAAGGGTGGGGCCGCTCATCTGAGACACTGTCTGCTGTCCAAGATGAGAGAGATTGATATTAATGTTTCATTTACTTTAAGCTAAGATGAAAATGTATCCAGGAAGAGACATACAGTGAGGAAGTGGACTAGTGTTATAAGTTGCAACACGTTTTAGTAACATGTTATATCAATAGTACTAAGAGCATTATAGTTATAATATCTACTCAAAAAGCTATTTTATTATTTTTGAAAATAATGTAGATGTGTGTGGATGATTTCTCACAGTGCATATGACCCAGCTGATTATGAACATCTTCCTGTGTCAGCCGAGATCAAAGAGCTGTTTCAGTACATCACACGGTTAGCATGCACAAACTTCACACCTTCACAGCATTTGATGTGCACCTGCACATGAACAGAAGAACATCTAGCAAACTGACCTCTTACACTTGGAACATAAAAGTATCTATAGTTGAAGAAACACAAAATACACTCTTTTGTCTCGTAGATATCTCATGGATTCTTGTTTTCTCACTGGTATTAATTGCATGACTGTTTATTTCAGATATACTCCACAGACGATAGAGCTTGACCACAAACTGAAGCCCTTTATCCCTGATTTCATTCCAGCTGTGGGGGACATTGATGCTTTCCTCAAAGTGAGTGACAATTTTCAAATCTGAACTGGACATGAGTGTCCAATTTTCAGTTTCTGAATCTTTCTGTTCAACCCACAGGTACCACGTCCAGATGGGAAGGCTGACAATCTGGGTCTCCTGGTTCTGGATGAGCCGTGCATTAAACAGTCAGACCCAACAGTGCTTTCCCTGTGGCTGTCAGAGAACAGCAAACAACACAATGTTGCTGTGAGTTCACACACTAGAAGACTTAAGGTGCTTTGATGACTTTAGCCTGGTAAGTGAAATGAGAAAGTGATGCACATCTCTTTCACAGGAAGTGAAAGTAAAGAGCATCGAAAACCCAGAGAAGAACCCCAAAGCCATAGACAACTGGATAGAGAGCATTAGTGAGCTGCATCGGTCCAAGCCTCCAGCTACTGTACACTACACAAGGCAAGCACTGACATGAATCAACCACGAACATCCAGAGAGCAGAACACAACATCTGTGTCATTTTATAACAAGAGTCATGCATTTTTCTTCAGACCCATGCCAGATATTGACAGCCTGATGCAAGAGTGGCCACCTGAGTTTGAGGAGCTTTTGGGGAAGGTTAGATCTTGACTGAAAGGTCATGAATTAAATCTGCAAATTCAGTCATGTTCACCTTCACTTCCCCATCTGTTCACCAGGTCAATCTCCCCACCTCAGATATTGACTGTGATTTGGCAGAGTATGTCGACATTATGTGTGGTAAGTTGCATGTTTCTTACATTTACATCTTTGATGGTTTTCTTGGTTTTATTGTAATGACTGTTAATGTAACCTGTCAGGAATCCTGGACATCCCTGTGTACAAGAACCGGATTCACTCACTTCACGTCCTGTTCACACTCTACTCTGAATTCAAAAACTCACAGGTTAGTTCCAGACATTCTACAATATTACATTAAATAATATAAAATGCTTTTCACAATCTGCAAATATTGATTACTTGTTTCGCATTATTTTTATTATGTGACATTTATTAACTTTTTTTTGTAAAGCACAGGATTTTAGATGTTGAAGTTGTTGGTTGTATTATTGAAGAGCTGATTTTGTTTCTCCTGTGATCAGCACTTTAAATCTGTAGCAGAGGGCCAGAAATCCGACACACCGCCTGCTTCACGTACAGCCACTGCTGAATTAGAAAGACTCACTTTGGACTGAAGTCTCCTTCATGGCCTATTTTCATACATCCTGTTTTGTTCTTAGCTGTTGTATCGCCAGTTGAAGTTGTGAAGCTACATTCTGTTCTGCATATTAGATTGTGTGAATTCTTCATATGTTTATGTTTAGTAGACTTGTTTTTCCAGACTCTTCACAGATTTTTTTAGGAGATATACCGTTAAATAACAGTATGTACTGTATAAATATCCCAGAAAAATAATACTATATTAAACTGAATCAACAGTAAACACTGAAAGGCTTCTGAAACACCAAAAGGCATTTAGCAAAGCAAGATGACATTATAGCCATAATCAGATTTATATGATACACTGAACCAGAGTAAGCTGTCCTTTATGATTTAGTTAAAAGTCTAATATACTGTGTAAAACAATGTACGAGAGTTGTTGTCTATTAGATCATTTGAATAAAAGCAGCCCTGCCTTCTTCCTTGTTCTAACCGCTTTTTATTTTATTTATTTCGTGGTTTTTAGTGGCTATTTTTTACTCTGAGATGACAGCAGTTTTGAGTGCAATAAAGAGCATCATATTAAGAACGTCTACAGATTTGAATGATTTGATTAATGGTTATGAGTCATAATAAAATGCTGAATTAGCTACAAGAAGATCTAGAAGTCTAGATCAAGAAATCTAACTCCTGACTTACGATGACTGGATGTTACATTCATATTTGGCTGTTTTTCTTCACTGTATTGGGCAAGTATGGCTAATCATTTCTATGGCTAGATAAATAAAATGTATAATTTTCAAAAGCTAGATATGTTACATATATATGATGTTTAATTTCCTCCATGTCAATTACTACATTTTACATTTATGGTCATTATATGATTTAGTATATTTCACTCGGAAGAATTTGTTTATTAATCGTAACGTACATACATATAGATTTGACAGCGAGAGAAATTGAAGTCAAAGAAGTGCAGACGGGCTTATACAGTCGTGTTGAGCTGACTGGAGAGGAACTTGATCAACATACTGCTGATTTTCTGCACTCAGTGGAATGGACCAAACGAAATGGATCAATAACATGTCTATGTGTTAGTAAAACCACCACATTCAGTGCTGCATACAGTCAATGCTGTGGCACAGCTCATTTCTATTTAAACAATAACAGCCTCATTCTGGAGAACGTGACAACAAAGGATGAAGGAGTCTTCACTGAAACAATAATTAGAGGAAACGGCACTACAAATATGCTCAGCTTTACATTAATTATTCAGTGTAAGTCAGACCTATCACAGTCATGCTTATTCATGTAGAATTCGTCTAATTTTGCTGCGCTTGTGCTCATTAATATGCTTTACTTTAAGACCCTCCAAGTGCAACAGAAATTGTGGTCTCCTGGACCTCCAGCACATCTGTGACTCTCAAATGTGAAGTGAGCGGCTTATTTCTGCATCTGATGTGGAAGAGAGAAGGATTCCCTATTCTAGAGAAACACAGACACTCATTCAGTGAGAGGAACCAAACTCTACACATCAGCAACATAACCAGCTCCGATTACGGGACGTACAGCTGTTTTGCTTCAAATGCATATGGAGAATCAGAAAAGCACACATATATTACCGGTGAGCAGTAGTTCATTCGTTGTGCACCTTACATGAATCCTCAAAATGATGCCAGATTTTAATATTCTGTTTAGGAGCAGGAATTAAACCTAAAACATCTTTAAACACAAAGGCATTTCGTAAAACATCTTTCAACAGAAACAGAATCAAGAAAAAGAAAGAAGCATTGCATAATCCTGTAATTTTCTGGTTTTCTTTTAAGGTGAGAACTCAACTGTTAACCGAGGAAATGGCGCTGGTGGTAAAACTCAGTCTGATCAGATTGTGCTTTCAAGTGGACTTACACTCGCAGGAGTTTTGGGAATGTGCATCGTGTTCTACTGCCTTCACAAAAACCATCACAGTAAGATTTTCTCCCAAATACATCAACAATGTGAATACATTTTGCTTTATCAAAATAATAATTGTTTGTTTACGAAACCCACATCCTTCATGATTTAGGTTTATTCTATGACTTAGTTTATCAATATCAAGACCATGTAATCTCAGCATCTCAGTTCTCACCCAAATGTTCTCACAGGAAGATTAGTGGTATGAACCACAGTCAAAAAACAGACTCATTTTCCTCTTAACAAAACTCACCAGCTACTCTGCAGACCATCTAAAACCTGAAATACATGGGGTGTATAGGATTATAAAACATACTGTGTAAAGTCATTTAGTGTAGTGTATTTTACATTTGTTATATTTCTAAGGCCAAAGGGTTGAAAATGGCAGAACTACAGATGAGGGTAACCAAATAAATAATGTACTTTTTTTCTGAGCTGCAGTTATAACCTCACTCTTTAATACACAGGGGATGCAGACAAAGTCCATGGAGTTTATCAGGTAAAGCACAAAAAAGCATAAAAAGGGTTTCAATATGTCAACACAATCCTCAAGTAATTTTACGGGGTCTTTAAGTCAAATAATAAACTCTCTGTATCCAGTGAAATTCTATGAATGATTCGTGTATATAATATTTTTTATATACATATAAATAATACCTGTTTACTCTGACCACTCCTGTCTCACAGGAAGTACCTGACACTGAAGAGGTGACTTTTTCTTTGTACGTCTACACAGACGTCATGACACCGAAAGAGCCCAGTCAGGCCTCCTTTGAGGACTATTCTGATGACGGACTCACATGCAGGGAAGAAACGGTCACTCTTTATTGGGTCAATAATGATCAGTCCACATCGTGTCCTGATGCTGGAGAGGACAAATGATATAAGAGCCTACAAAGAGACAGAATAGATGAAGTTAGGCCTGCTGACAAAGTAACACTTGGGCTCTTCAGGCAGAACAGAGCTGTTTTACATTAGGGTGATTTTATATTTTTAAGCACAACCGCAGTGACAAATATAAAACAAAACAAAATTACATGTTATACCATATACAAGCTCACATGACCATAATGTAACAGAACCCAGCCTCAGCATCACCGCAGCATGAATAAAAACCTTTAATAATAATTTAAAATTAATAATAATGCCTTTGCATTTATTTTGAATGCTGAAAGATTTTTTTATTTGCTAAAATTATGATTATGTTTGATCTAGCAATTATTATTATTAATGTGCTAAAGTATCACTGTTAAATAACCATTTACTGAACTATATACTTTACTGAATACTTTTAGTTTATGTTGTTAAATATGTCATTGTCATCCACTTGATAAAAAATAATCAAATGATATTGTTTGTTATTCGTTTTTATTCTTTCATTTATTTGTTACTCCTTTACTCACATAACTCCTTGTGCTAACTAAATTGCACAGAATTAACATTTCCAAGTGATTTTTTTATTTGTTTATTGTGTATCTTAATGGTTACAAATAGAATGTTAATAATTGAGACTAATTTCATCTCATATATATATACACACAGATATTAACGCACACACAGTGGTTGAATACATAATGTAATTGGATTTTTATTAATGTCTAAAGTCACAAATAGGCTGTAGGCTTGTTGAACGTTTGACACTTATTTACTATCAAATACTATATAAAATAAACAAAAATACAGAACCAATATATCGGCCCAGATATTTTAATAACAGGCAGATGAGGGAACATGAGTTTACCATGAAAAGTTTTATTGGCACTAAGAACCCCAAAGCCATAGACAACTGGATCGAGAGCATTAGTGAGCTGCATCGGTCCAAGCCTCCAGCTACTGTACACTACACAAGGCAAGCACTGACATGAATCAACCACGAACATCCAGAGAGCAGAACACAACATCTGTGTCATTTTATAACAAGAGTCATGCATTTTTCTTCAGACCCATGCCAGATATTGACAGCCTGATGCAAGAGTGGCCACCTGAGTTTGAGGAGCTTTTGGGGAAGGTTAGATCTTGACTGAAAGGTCATGAATTAAATCTGCAAATTCAGTCATGTTCACCTTCACTTCCCCATCTGTTCACCAGGTCAATCTCCCCACCGCAGATATTGACTGTGATTTGGCAGAGTATGTCGACATTATGTGTGGTAAGTTGCATATTAGTTAGTTTCAGATACTCTAAAAAATTAAATTAAAAAATGCTTTTCACAATCTGCAAATATTGATTACTTGTTTCGCATTATTTGTATTATGTGACATTTATTCACTTTTTTTTGTAAAGCACAGGATTTTAGATGTTGAAGTTCTTGGTTGTATTATTAAAGAGCTGATTTTGTTTCTCCTGTGATCAGCATTTTAAATCTGTAGCGGAGGGCCAGAAATCCGACACACCGCCTGCTTCACGTACAGCCACTGCTGAATTAGAAAGACTCACTTTGGACTGAAGTCTCCTTCATGGCCTATTTTCATACATCCTGTTCTGCATATTAGATTGTGTGAATTCTTCATATGTTTATGCTTAGCAGGCTTGTTTTAATAAAAAAAAAACGTATTTCCTCAAACTGTAGAAGTTTGTCTTCAAAACTCATCACAGCTACTCCATCAGTCCACTGCCTAATTATTTTACAGTTTGCAATGAGCTGGTCTTTTCTTACTGAAGTGTAAAACCAGAGGATGATGGGTTTCCTTGTTTAACCACTTCTTACATTAATAGATGTTTTATGTAACTTTACATTTAGTATCACAAAATCAAGACTCTTCACAGATTTTTTTTAGGAGATATACCGTTAAATAACAGTATGTACTGTATAAATATCCCAGAAAAATAATACTAAATTAAACTGAATCAACAGTAAACACTGAAAGGCTTCTGAAACACCAAAAGGCATTTAGCAAAGCAAGATGACATTATAGCCATAATCAGATTTAAATGATACACTGAACCAGAGTAAGCTGTCCTTTATGATTTAGTTAAAAGTCTAATATACTGTGTAAAACAATGTACGAGAGTTGTTGTCTATTAGATCATTTGAATAAAAGCAGCCCTGCCTTCTTCCTTGTTCTAACCGCTTTTTATTTTTCCTGTCGTGGTTTTTAGTGGCTATTTTTTACTCTGAGGTGACAGTTTCAACTCTGAGTGCATTAAAGTGAGTCACAGAAACAAGATCTGCAAATTTGAACGGTTTGATTAATGGTTGCCAATGTTAATAAAATGCTAATTTAGCTATTAAAACATTAAGTCTAACTCCTGACTTACGATGCCTGGATGTTTCATTCATATTTGGCTGTGTTTCTTTGCTGTATTTGGTAAGTATAGCTAATAAATTCTATAGCTAATAATTATTGCAGCGTTTCCGTTTTCATTTTGCTATTAATGCATATGTGGATTGTAATATATAAATTAAATACACTTTAAAAAGTAGGTTTACTTAAAGAGAATAATTTCATTTCTTTAGGCCAATTATTTTTTCATGTATGGTCATTCATACATAGATATAGTTGAACTTTTTTTTGTTTGTTTATTACATATTGTATTACATATTACATACATATAGATTTGACAGCGAGAGAAATTGAAGTCAAAGAAGTGCAGACGGGCTTATACAGTCGTGTTGAGCTGACTGGAGAGGAACTTGATCAACATACTGCTGATTTTCTGCACTCAGTGGAATGGACCAAACGAAATGGATCAATAACATGTCTATGTTTTAAAAAAACCATCACATTCAGTGCTGCATACAGTCAATGCTGTGGCACAGCTCATTTCTATTTAAACAATAACAGCCTCATTCTGGAGAACGTGACAACAAAGGATGAAGGAGTCTTCACTGAAACAATAATTAGAGGAAACGGCACTACAAATATGCTCAGCTTTACATTAATTATTCAGTGTAAGTCAGACCTATCACAGTCATGCTTATTCATGTAGAATTCGTCTAATTTTGCTGTGCTTGTGCTCATTAGTATGTTTTACTTTAAGACCCTCCAAGTGCAACAGAAATTGTGGTCTCCTGGACCTCCAGCACATCTGTGACTCTCAAATGTGAAGTGAGCGGCTTATTTCTGCATCTGATGTGGAAGAGAGAAGGATTCCCTATTCTAGAGAAACACAGACACTCATTCAGTGAGAGGAACCAAACTCTACACATCAGCAACATAACCAGCTCCGATTACGGGACGTACAGCTGTTTTGCTTCAAATGCATATGGAGAATCAGAAAAGCACACATATATTACCGGTGAGCAGTAGTTCATTCGTTGTGCACCTTACATGAATCCTCAAAATGATGCCAGATTTTAATATTCTGTTTAGGAGCAGGAATTAAACCTAAAACATCTTTAAACACAAAGGCATTTCGTAAAACATCTTTCAACAGAAACAGAATCAAGAAAAAGAAAGAAGCATTGCATAATCCTGTAATTTTCTGGTTTTCTTTTAAGGTGAGAACTCAACTGTTAACCGAGGAAATGGCGCTGGTGGTAAAACTCAGTCTGATCAGATTGTGCTTTCAAGTGGACTTACACTCGCAGGAGTTTTGGGAATGTGCATCGTGTTCTACTGCCTTCACAAAAACCATCACAGTAAGATTTTCTCCCAAATAAATGTTCATAAATGTTGCTTTAGCAAACTAATTGTTTATGAAACCCACATCCTTCATGATTTAGATTTATTCTGTGACTCAGATCATGAACCTCAATACCACGTAATCTCAGCATCTCAGTTCTCACCCAAATGTTCTCAAAAACGCCAGTTTGACAAAAAGAAATATGAATCATAGAAACACAAAAACCAGACAAATTTCCCCCTTTAAAAACTCCCCAGCTATTCTGCAGGCTACCTAAAACATGAAATACAATTGCAGCAATTATTGCATTTCATTTCTATTTTGTAAAGAATGTTTTACGGTTGTTGTATTTTTAGGGCAAAGAGCAGAAAATGGCAGAACTACAGATGAAGGTATTAAAAAATGAATCTATCTATTTAACTATCTATAAGCTTGTATTGATTATACCAGTTGTAATTGTATAATATCTGTGAAATATACTTCACAGGGGGTGCAGACAATGACCATGGTATTTATCAGGTAATAGACAATCAAAAGCATTAATAAACAAGATGTGTAATAATGAATTTAGTACATATTTGGACGTTAATATGATGAACATTTAAGACAATCTTCATTATCTTAAAGACCCAACGAAAAGTGTTTTGTGGCTTTTATTTCATATATACTACCTTTGAGGCCTCTATATGCTAATGCAGTGTTAACAAATCAGGTTTTCAAACATGAGTCAGGGCTCATGTTTGAAATGTAAGCTAAAGTTAAAGGCTAATAGTTTGGCTCTTTAAATTGACTTTCTGTCTAATAATTGTCAATCATAACTAATAATAATAGCCTATAATATTATTAACTATAATGAACATAACATTTAGTATAATATTGCTTTGTCCTGTTGCGTGACACTTAAAGATTTAATTTTGTGCTTAATATTCTCACAATTTCCATACACTGCGCTGCACCGGAAGTTGCGGTGGTCACTGAGCCTAAATGCCACTGTCAGGTCATTTCATTGGGTCTTTAAGTCATGAAACAATGTCCGTGTATCCAGCATAATGATTAATGCGATTTTTTTTAAAATAAACATATTAATAATACCGGTTTACTCCGACCACTCCTGTCTCTCAGGAAGTACCTGTCACTGAAGAGGTGACTCCTTTACCGTACGTCTACACAGACTTCATTAAGCCGAAAGAGAGCAGTCAGGCCTCCGCTGCAGCGACACACTTCGAGGACTTTGGTTACTCTGAGGTCGGACCCACATGCAGGGAAGAAACAGTCGTTCTAGATGAGCGTGTCTCTAATGAACAGTCCACAGCGTGTCCTGATGCTGGAGAGGAGTAACAACTGATATAAGAGACTACAAAACATGTTGGAGTGAAAACAGCGAATACTAATAACACACTTTCATGTTCCTGAATCTGGTGCAGCGCAACAAGTGCAACATATAAGCAGCGGGTGAAAAAATACGGTACGTCCTGATCAACCACTAGAGGGCAGCAAAAAGGTTTGGGGTTTCGATCTAGATTCAATATCAATTCATGTGTATATACTGTAAATATAAGGGGATACAAATCTTTTGATGAATGCCTTTTAGCACCATTTTAAACTTTAAATTCGGTATTTGCTTGCATTCATTGTGTGTAATTATGCAAGTATCAAAGGATGAAAAAGGGTAAAAAAAAGGATGTAAGTTATTAACTTTTTTAATTTCTAATTTAAAAATCTAGTGTTTAACCATGTCTAAATATTTATTCAAATGAAGAATTAAAAAATAAGTAAGCAGGTATGACCTGCAATATTCTAGATCTATTTAGTAAAGAGCCATACAGGTACCTAGTGGGTAAACGCATTACAAATGAAAATCTTTTTTTCCTGACTACAAAATGACTCTAATTTGCCTCTTTCCATTGGAATTTAAAACCCCTTTTTTTCTATTTTAACTTTACATACTCCACTCATTGAAATATAAGTAATAGAAATATTAGAAAAAATATTATGTCATTAATGGACCATAATTTTTGCACAAATAGTATTTAGTAGGCTACCAAAATATCTCCTCAAAATATTAAATACATATTATTGGACTAAAATATAGAACACTTATTTAACTGAAAAATTGTTAAGCTGTATGGTCACATTATAAGTAAGCAATACCCGAGAGTTAAGAAAACCATATTAATGCTGCCTCTCCATCACTCTCCAGAATAAAATTACACTGTAAATGTCATCGACGTAAATCAATGCATAATATGCTGTAATGTTTACCAAAAAATGCTGCAAATAATTGTATAATGAAGCTGTCGTCTATTCTACTTAAACCCATACAAATGTATCGTCAACGCTGGTTGGTTTGTTTGGACAGCTCCGTGAACCACGTGACCACGGCGACGCCGGCGAGTTCAACGCTTGTCGCAACTCAGTTTTTTTTCATGGCACTGGCTTTAACTGAAGTGCTACATTTTACGATTTACGCCACATTAAGTGCGCCAAAACTGTATTTATTGTTTGAATTTAGTATTAAAACTTACCAAAGTTGAAAGCTGAGACAATATGTTTCATATTGTAAGCAGGGTTGCCAATTTGGCGTGAGATTTACATGGGCAGCGTGAGAGCGTGAGACGGAGCCTGAAAGCGTGTGTTTCACGCCAAATGCGTGAGAGTTGGCAACCCTGCTCAGTTACATTCAATAGGCTAAAAATCATTCTGAAAAATAGCAGTTTCCTCTCTTGCACTTGGCACTGGATCATGCACAGCATGAACACACTATACGGACTTGATAAGTAATAAAATGACTTCATTAAGTACTTCAGATTCTTGCAATAATGTCAAGGAAACGATGTTTGAAGTGACACTTAAATATGCACACTGTGAGAGGTCGTAAGTGTCCACCCTACTCATTAGTGACTGTCATACACAGTGATTAGATACATGACTTGTGCCTTTCAGAGCAATTTGGAGCGAAAGTGGTTTGTCTTGCATGACAAACTCTGTTAAAGGTTCTGTATATAAATTATGACATGTCATGGAGTAAGCAGCAGATTAATTGATGTTAAAAGGCAAATCTAGATGTCAGTAAAGAGGTGCACTCTCACTGTGCACAATAAGAGACCAAAACAGGTCAAAGCATTTGAGAGACAGCTGTCAGTCATCTGAAGAGTGCAAATGTCTCACCAAATCTTTCATTTACATTTTAAGAGTAGAGTACCTTCATGTATACCTAAAGCAATGTCTTTATTTGGACTCCTCAAAGCAACCAGGAATACATACTGCAACAGGATGCAAAGAATAGGTTCCTTCGTTTTTCCTTCAGAAAAGTCAAAAGAAAAAGACTGAAATAAAAATTAAACTATTTCCTTTTAACAAATGTTAACTGTACAGTCTCACTTTTTCTAAGTATGCTTAATTTGTTACACCCATGGAATGCTGGGAAATGATACTTACAAACAGAAGGGGGATGTAAGTGTTTAATAATTTAACTTTAATCTCCTGTGATATAAATAGAAAGAAAAAAAAAAAAACAGAGGTTTGGGGGACAGTGTTAATTAAAGATCTCCTAAACAACTACAATAAGTGCAAACAGATATTTATATACAAAATTGCACATATCATTTGGGATTCAGGAAAAAAAATAATAATAATAATGTGTGGAAAACAATTTGCATCCTCGTTTGGGGATAAATAAATCACAAAGCGAACTCGTCAGACACAGACGCTCCAGAACAAAGGAATAGACTAAATGCAATGCAGGTATCAGGAATAAAACATTTGAGATTTGTGTGGTAAACAGATGCACTCTGATCCGAAGGTTTAATATCAGTGATTAAGCCCTATCTGGCAACCCTGAGACAAAAACAACCCCATTTCAGCACGTTTGACTAAGCTGAACATTCACTTGGAATTAATGGACCAAATCAGACTATGAGCACCATAAGGCTCCAAAAACCCTCGTTTAAGTGCGTACAAACTGCAGGGTTTTGATTTTCACTAAAGCTACAGCATCATTTGAGATTCACTTTTGATTACCGAATAATACCAACAGATTTAAATGCAAATATTTGTAACAAAAAGGGTACACAAAATCCTGTGAGATACTTTCATGATCCATTGTGTGCATTACTAAATTAATAAAATGATATGCTACAGATGATCAATCACAAGCACATAGAGGTTTGGCAGTGTTAATTAAAGATCTCCTAAACAACTACAATAAGTGCAAACAGATATTTATATACAAAATTGCACATATCATTTGGGATTCAGGAAAAAAAAAACAATGTGTGGAAAATAATTTGCATCCTCGTTTGGGGATAAATAAATCACAAAGCGAACTCGTCAGACACAGACGCTCCAGAACAAAGGAATAGACTAAATGCAATGCAGGTATCAGGAATAAAACATTTGAGATTTGTGTGGTAAACAGATGCACTCTGATCCGAAGGTTTAATATCAGTGATTAAGCCCTATCTGGCAACCCTGAGACAAAAACAACCCCATTTCAGCACGTTTGACTAAGCTGAACATTCACTTGGAATTAATGGACCAAATCAGACTATGAGCACCATAAGGCTCCAAAAACCCTCGTTTAAGTGCGTACAAACTGCAGGGTTTTGATTTTCACTAAAGCTACAGCATCATTTGAGATTCACTTTTGATTACCGAATAATACCAACAGATTTAAATGCAAATATTTGTAACAAAAAGGGTACACAAAATCCTGTGAGATACTTTCATGATCCATTGTGTGCATTACTAAATTAATAAAATGATATGCTACAGATGATCAATCACAAGCACATTGAATAAGGAGAAAAAACTGCACGTTTAGAAGAGAAAATATAATTTCACAGCATTTAAAATGTTCAATTTATATTCTGATTGATCAAGTCACTGTTGCCATCCATGGTTTACATTGTCGTAATAACATACACGATCTATTGTTATTCAAAGAAGTTTCATATTACACCATTAAGAGCTTCACTGTGATATTCAGTTTCCCTCTTCTGAAAATCCCCCTCTGTGTCCACCATCTGGTTGAACACAATCTGTGAATAATTTCTCAAATGTACAAAAGTGCTCAGTCTTCAAGAAAGTGTAAAAAATGTCTATTTGGCCCGAAAAGCCTCTTCCCTTTTTTTAAGGCAAGTGGTGACCAGTAGGTCAAAAGACTCTTGCCACAGAACCGTGCTGTATCATCTCCCAATAAATATTGCAACAAATAATTCCCCCCACATTTGAAACGAGTGAGCAGAGTTAATGGCTTTTGGCATTTGTAGTTTCCACAAATGGCGAGAGCGTTACAATTAATGTACAAGGACGGGAATATCTCTCAACTATACATGGAAAGGGCACAAATGACATAAGTATGCGGCATGAATGTGTGGACAGGAAGCCAAGGTCATGTTCATAAGTGCATGCCAAAATGAAAGAAAAAAAAACTAAAATGATCCACTACACATTTATGGAAAAGCAAGACCTCTTGCAGACCTTGTCCCTTTGGCCCTCATTTCTAGTTGAGGTACTGTAAACACTTTAGAGAGTGCTCAAGGGAGGCCGAACAACTCTTCAACGAATGATTCACAAACATCAGGCTCCTTCCTGTTATCTGAACACAGCTGAAACACGCTCAATTCACATTCAGTAGAATCCTCAGCCAATTAAAGTTGAGTTCCAAGAATTTCAGAACTCTGCCGGTTTAGAATTAGCGGATTCCGGAACTGGACGGATAAGGGGGAGTTTTGTTCAGGGAAAACATGCACTCATTACCTTTCATTCTCACCAACACAACAGCGACGACACAATATGATACACCAGTACCAGTAAAATCTCTTTTCCAAAATGATTTTTAGACAAAGTTATATACCATCTTTATAAATATTTTCTGTGCTGTTGTGTCCTCTATCAATATAAATAGCAAAATATAGTGTCATATTTCCTACAGCTAGTTGAATCCCCTTATCCATTTACACGAACTAAAGCATCTTAAAATCACAAGATTCTTTTCTGAAAGGATCCATTAGAAATAACGTACAATTGGAACGAATACAGATGTCTGTACAAAACAAAATTAGCAAAATAATACAACAAAAAGCAACACAATCAATGTGTGTGTTGTTAGCCACAGGAGTGCACAGATGCTAGAGAGTTTGTGAAATGAGTCTGGGAGATGTGTGAAACCAACCGATTGGGTGAAAAGTGAAGCAAGCTGATATCAACATAGATTTTTTTTTTTTGGAGGTGGTGATGGGGTGTGAAAATCATCCGTGATGATCTGACCTACTCTGACCTTTTGCTCGAAATCCCAACCGAAGATTGTTTGAAGAAGAATACAAAAAAGCATACAAATTTTGTTTCCTTTTTTTCTTTAAATTAAAATGCTAACCAATAAATATGCAAACAAAGAGTCCACTTTTTTTGTTGAGACCAAAAATGCTTCTAACACTTTGTGGCGTACATTCAGGAACATTCATATTGAAAGTGAAAAATGCAATGTAAAATAAACAAACAAACAAACTGAAAAAAAAAAAAACACTGTAAGAGTTAACAATAAACATTGCCATAATAATAATTTATATTATATTACAAATTATTCCTATGTGTGTGTTTTCTCCAGTCCAAGGTCCCTGCCAGGGTAAGGTGATTTTTTTTATAGTTTTTCTTTTGAGGGAATCCAGATGTAAGGTCCAGACTGTTCCTCTATCACCATCTTACACTGGTTATAAATGTCCTCTAGTGTGTCTCCTTGAACCAGCGCTGAAAGAAAAAGAGAAAGAGCTGATGTTAAAAGATTTTTAAACACTTTACAGATTAACATCTTTTTCATTTTGCACCACAAGAAACCCTGATGACAGTTTCATAATGATCATTTTTGAACTTAATGGCTCATTAGCCACATCATTGTTCATGGATTCTTCTGCATAAATTGTAAGAATAGCAATTTTACCCAGCAAAAGAATATCTAACAAAGAAGTGAGAATTATGCAGCCTTTTCATTAAAAAATATATTTTCTTTTTTCTGATAAGAAAAATAGCTCTTCTATTTAAGTATACATTATTAGTAAAGCAACAGACTTTTTAAATCTCTTCCAGGAGCTTTCTTGCAGATTCAGAGCAATGGAATAAAAAAACAAAAAGCAGTAGCATAGTCACACGGGTTCAAAATGCCCTCATATCAATCATCATGTCGCTGCACACTTTTTCACATTCCTCTATACAGACTCTCGGGGGTCACGCTAATGCAAATTTCAAGAGAAAGATGATGTGTTTCACTCAGGGGAGACCATCAGCTCCATGGCTCTGCTGTCAAACATGATGGATGTAACAGGCTGCAGTGGTTGGCCTCTGAGGTAATGCATATGCAAGAGACTATCAGAATATGCAAATGAGGTGATATCTGAGCATAAAAGTGCTGCTCAGGTCCTCTGGATGGATTAGGAACTTTTCTGTTACCTGAGAAATACTCGCCAAACTCCTGCTCCAGTTTCATGGCACGGTCGTACGTCTTTTTGGCCTGTTCCTCCGTCAACCTCTTATTCATCTCCCTGAAATGCACAGGTTTTAGAAGCATATCAGTCCCTTAGTCTGAGTGCAGAGGAATTTTTATTATTTATGGAACTTATACGGCATCATAGAGGTGTGTGGTAAACTTACATTAAGGACTCGATGGATCTAGGCTTTATAAAGATGGCAATGGGGTAGAGTTGTGCTACTTGTAGTCGTTTTATCGCATTCCCAGACACGTCAAGTATGCAGTGCTTTCCCTAGAAAAGCAAAAAGGACTTGCTAAATGCTAGGAAGCTGAACAGTAGAGTAAGGGGCCGTTCACAAAAGACACATTCAAGGGCACAAAGACAAGAGATGGCCTATGAGATGTTTAGCAAGGAAAAGTCTTGTGAATAATGGCCTCTAAGATATTGAGTTTGACTCTTTACCGCATTACTGGCAAGTACTGTACATCTGAAACATGCTAAACTGGCTAGGCATCCCAAATTGTGAAATCTACGTTAGGCAAGGCAAGCTTATTTATATACTGTAGCACATTTCATTCACAATGGTAATTCAAAGCACTTTATATAAATAGTAATGCTGTGGTTGTAAAACCACAGCAACTACTGACCCTCTCAGCCACGTATTTGACAGACTGTACACTGGTTCCATACAGATTGTCATTGTACTGTCCAGCCTCGATGAACTTGTGGTCTTGGATGTCTTTCTCCATCTGCTCTCGTGAGGACACAAAGTGATAATCTCTCCCATCCACTTCATAATCCCGCTTTGGTCTGGTAGTATCTGAAATTGGTTAAAAAATATCCAGGCGTTAGTTTTTTTAAGACTTGGGTACTCGGTTCTATAACACATAAAAATAATCATCATCATTATTTACATACACATTCATAAGAAATACCTTAAGTTGTCAGAGGACGGAGGGCAAGTCTACTTACAATTACAAATAAACTATTATATGTCTACCTTTCAGGGTGACATACTAAGAGATAGAACAGCAGCAGTGATCTAAGCAGAAATACCCATAGATCCCACTGACTGGATGAACTGTATACTACAGGGAAGAACTATTACATTTTCTACTTATAATCTTGCTCATTGCAGACTAATATTCTCACTTACCTTCTTGATCAGAACTGTTAGCCGCTTTTTTAAATTATGAACAAACAAAAACGGTTAAATATAAGTCTGGAAAACTGAAAAACAAACAATAAATAAATGGTTTAAGATGTAAAACATGAAAGAGCTCTGTGGCACTCATCAGCAAACTCTCCGAATGATATGGGATTTTTATTCTGAGATGAAGTCCTCCATAGTATTGTCAATTTGTTAATATTTTGACTAATATGTGTAGCACAAGCCAACAAAGCTCTTTCCCAATAAACAAGGGAAGAAAATTAGAAAACAAAGGAAATGTTACAAATTGTGGATTACGAAGGGTTACTTTCAAGGTTTGCTCCAAGTGCTTTGTGTTTTTTTTTTTAATTACTCTTTAGACCACTTGTAACTTCTGAAAGCATCACTAACTAGTGACCTAGTTGAAGTTTGTTAATCAGCAGACCTTGAAATAAGTGATTTGATAGTCACAGCACAATGAAATGAGTTTCAGGAACTGCACTCAAGCACACTGGGACAGTAGGGAACACCACGGACTCTTATGGTCAGGCCACTCACCTTACCATCTCATTTTGATGAACCCCATCAGAACCGCTATCAGCACAAAGGCTTAAAAACCCCCAAGACTACTGGATATAATTACAAACTACCTTGGCCAGAGGTTTTTCTAACACTCCAATTGAAATCCATAATGGCACAAGTGAGAATAACACAGTACACTATTGCTCAGGTGGGCTCTTTTAAGATATCGGTTGAGTCAGCCTCTACTGAAGGTTTAATATCTGTGCATACTAAAGATATAATCATGAATAATTAATGAAAGATCCATTGAAAGTTTAGTTTATCTGATAATTTAACCACCTGAGTAGAAACCACAAGATCTCTGTAGGGTACTTACGTGGCACACATGATCCAAACTTGTCCGGAAACTCGGAAATGAGGTCATCGTTGATTCTATCCTTCATGGGCCCCAAGATTATAACCGGTCTGGCATAATTAACTGTTCAAACAGATAATACAGGCACAGAAAATCTCTGACTGAAATCGAACACCAATCACGTAATTTATTTACACTGACTGTGAACGTCATACAGTTCAAGCATGAGAGACAGTGGAGAGACACTTACTCTCTTGTCTGATGACGGGCTCATATGAGAGAATCAGTTCCTCTTGACTCCCTGGAAACAGAACAGAAAAACATACTCTGTGGGGTGGGTGGTTATGATAGGACTCTTTTTGCAGAACGCCGGCGATTGACATGGCCACATTTGGTGCGCCCTTCACCAAGGTCTCTCATCTCAGAGCACCGCTCAACTGGAAGTGTAAATGAGTTACTGAGAGCATGTAATGTCATTACGTGCTTGTTGACAAGGACATTTGTATTAAAAAAGAGAAAAATAAAAAAGAGTGGCAAAATTGAGTTAGCGCTCATTTGGGAGATTAAAGGGATCAGCGGAAAGGCGATGATGGACAACAGAAAATGTAATCATGGATGAGACTGAAGTTTCAGACAGTGGCAATACTAATTGAATATAATAGTCCAATTATGGAAACGCAGGTCCAATGTGACGCTAGTTGTGAGGTGGTCTGCGCACACAGGGACTTAGAGAGCCAGAGGAGTTTATTTTTAGCCCTGGAACGAACAGAAGCAGGCTGCCGCAGGAACACAATATGGTTATTATCCATCGATTCAAACCCAGATAGGATCGAGTGTTATTCTGAGCCAGAGCTTCATTTTTCTCATAGGCAGTGGTAACATTAAACTATAGAGAATGAATCACACATAAATCAGCTTCTGTGTAGTGCTCCACTCTTACACAGAACAATTTAGATGCTGTGGAAATGCTAGATGGCCTCTATTTGTGTAGCTATTGCCATAAACACAATGGATTATGTCTATTTAAAGCCTTACAAACACAAAGCACACTCTGAAGCCCTGTTCGGCAACCTAATGAACTGCCCACAGAAGCAGAATTTTGAGGCATCAATTGCAGACTCACAACAAAAAAAGCTGTTCCAAAAGGTAGGCAACTTAACTTTGCTGCCTCCTTAAATTTCTTGTTTGGCTAAATTCTAAAGGCAACACTGCATGTTTGCATTACTGATCCAATTCAAGCAGATGAGGTGAGAAAAATGTTAACTATAATTAAACATTTTATTCAACACTTTAAACAGTATGAATAAAATGTAGAATTAAAAATTATTCTTTTACCTAATATTTGAACATGCTAATTTTATGCTGATTAGAGTGGAGCTCTATTGTTAGCACCAGACTCAACTGAATATATTATCGCGAGTTGAGTCTCAGATAGCTGGTTATGTAGAGCGTTCCAAATCAGTAATGGCTGTAAGGATATCTCTCTTAGAAGGCAGCTGCCTGTGTAGGTAATAAGCAACAAGGCAGCTCACTTTGAACAAAGCTTGAGTTGTATATTCTTTTGAATTCTGCAGGATGAGTTCTGTGCATTAAACAGAAGCCAAGCTGAGGGGACAGCATCTGTGAAGACGTTAAACAAGGTTATGTGGGTTTCATCAATGCCTGGAGTTTGTGGTGGAGTCAGATCATACATCATTTTGTAAGACTTGACAGTGACATTTGCCCTCTGACTCTCAGCTATAAGAGCCCGAACTTAAGAATTATGCTTCTACTAACATCACATGCAAGACATGGTGACTTAAAAAAAAAAAAAAAAGAAGCAAAAAGTATCTTATGCTCATCAAGTCTGCATTTATTATAATCAAAAACAGTAAAAATAGTAATATTGTAAAATATGAACACAATTCAAAATAACTTTTAATTTATTCCTGTGATGGCAAAGTTGAATTTACAGCAGCCATTACTCCAGTCTTCAGTGTCAAATAATCTTTCAGCATTCTGATTTGGTGCTCAAGAAACACTACTTATTAACAGTGCTGCTTAATATTTTTGAGGAAACAGTAATACATTTTTTTCCAGCATTCTCTGGTGAATAGAAACTTCACAACAATAGCATTTATTTGCAAGAAATGCAAACTTTTGTAGTATTAGAAATGTCTTTACTGTAACCTTTAATCAATTCAATGCATCCTTGCTTCATTCATAAAATTTTTTTTTAAAAACGTACTGAACCCAAACAATAATGTATATATATTCATATCAATGAAATGTTTGCTGAAATGTAACTCTGAAATGTTTAAACTTAAAACTGCCATGGGCAAAACTTGTATCTTTCTGCATGTTAAAGCAAACAAACTGTAAATGATTCTTTCTGACAGCACGTATCATTTTTTATCAGTGCGTCCATTTCCAAAATAAATTAAATAAAAGCCACAAATCCTGTTTACCGGCCAAGGGGGAAACAAACAAGTCATTTTTCATTATGTTGACAATGGCTGTCTAGAACAGCATCATGCCATATGACAATTACATGGCAAAACCTAATCTGTCCAAAGTGACAAGCTCATCCAGAGAGCTCTGAATTCACACTCGGTCTGGAAACCTGCCACTCTCAAAATGACTACAAAACCTGACAGCTAACGCTTTGGAGCTGGACTATCTCCAATAAACTGACCTGAAGTCATCAGGTTACTCAGTAACTTTTTCTTGTAGCAGTGTGATCTATGTGTTCTATAAACTTTGACAGTCTTGGTTGTATTTGGTTGACAAAATTAGACTTGAGTTTAAAGAATAAAATAAAATTAGACACAGGAGATTAAATTAGGGACTCAGTACCGAGGAAGAGAGATAAACACACTCAACCTAAAATAAATATCCTCTCTTCTGATCTTATATATCGGCTTTGTTTTCTGTGAACATCCATCGCTTATCCTCTCTATGTATTATGTCTTGGCACAAATACATATGAATTCATTGAGAATAATGTTAAATATTCAGTTTGGCCGATGTGTATTCCCTTAAAACCATATTTTAATAATTGTGTTGGCTAAATGCTCCTGATGAGAACATAACAACACTGTTAAAAACCCAAGACAACATTTGGCACAGCACTGCAGAGACATCATAAAAGACAAACACAAAAGACTAGAATGTAACAGATTTCCATTAGGAGAACTTCATGTTCTATATAATAGATAATAAGTATTTATATATA